AAATTGACTTGCCCGAAGATGAAACTACCAAATTCCGTCAATCTAGGGAGGCCCATTGGATTGAGACATTGGATACAGCAAGACCTATAGGACTAAATATTCATCATAATGTAGGCATAGCACCCTTTGTTGTCCCGTTTAATACAACCAGCAATCGAGCAAGCAAGATAGTTCATGCCCACTATAAGAGCCTTCAAGAGAAATTCCCCCATGTCTATAAGCAGAAAATGATAGTTGCATATTCAAAAAATAAGAACTTAAATGATAATATTGTTCATAGTAAACTAAAAACAATCAGTACATAACAGATACTATACTTCTCGCCCATCGGGCGAGTTATTTTTTCTAATTTCAGATCAGAATAAGAACAGAAGAAAACCCAATATCAAGACCCTTAATCCTAATTTCTAAATAAAGTGTCTGCTCCACCCTAGGCCTGTACATTTGGGAGAATCAAACCCTCCCTTCCCCGAAAAAGAAAAATAAAAAACCTAACACTACAGCGTGGATAAATAAAGCGAAATCTTACTTTGTGGATCAAATCGGAGACACTCTTCAAGGTGATTTAGATATGAACAATTTCAAAGTAACTAATTTAAAGTCTCCGGAAAATGATAATGACGCTGTTCACAAGAAATATTTACGGGATCAAATAAATTCAATTGAAGTAAATAAAAACCATTTAGAAGATAAAATAAGTAATGTGAAAAGATTCTTCAAACGTCAAATTGAAAAAATACAGAGAGATGTGACCGGGTATTGTTTACTACTCGAAGAAGCAAAACATTTAATTAAAATAGCAGATAGAAGAATGATAAGAATTTAGTAAAAAATATACCCTTAAAAATGAAACCAAAAACTTTAGTTATGAAAATAATAGAAGCTATTGAAACAGCTTCCCCAACTGTAATGACTTTCAATGGTAAAAAAATCAGCATAACTAAAAAAACTTATTGATATTGTAAAGTCAGAGACGATATAGACTTAGCAAGAATTAACGTGAACGCAAAGGAAGGTGGGTTTTTACCTTTCCTACTACCTTTAATATTTGGTGGTATTGCAGCGGCGGGTGCAGCAACTGGTGGGATATCTGCCGCAGTCAAAGCTGCCAATGCAAAGAAAGCAGAGGATTCTAAAAACGCTGAAGAACGCATACATAATTTAATAATGGAAAAGGAAGCACAGAAAGCAGATACTGCAAAAAAAGGTTCAGGAGTGAGAGATATGATAGGCACAATAAAAGAATTTGGAAAAAGATTTGGGGAAGAAACCAAGAAAACTGTTAAACAAGGATTAAATAAATTAGTAGATAGTATTGACACAGGAGAAGTCAAAGTCAAACATAAGGGTAATGGAATATTTTTAGAAAATATACACACTGGAAAAGGATTATTTCTTTCAAAGTATAAAGGAGAAGGAGTGATTTTTGGAACAAAAATATAGAATAAAAAATGGGGAAGAAATTCAAACATTCAGAAATATTTCCTAGTAACCCAATGCTGGGAAATCTCATCTCACTTTTAACATGTTGACAACACCAAACCTTTTAGATTTCAATTCTCTCTATATCTACACAACAACACCAGAGCAATCATATTATCAATTCCTCAAAGCTTTAGAATATTTACCAAAGAAAGATGTTCAAGACTTATTTCAATATTATGAAGAAAACGAAGAAGAAGTGGAAATAAAAGATATCATAAATAACTACATTAAAGCAAAGAATCCATCTTTCTATCCAACAGACATTAAAGTTTTTCTTACAAAAAATGTTAATGATCTAGACTTGTCTAATATTGATAGCAATCGGAAGAACCTAATATTGTTTGACGACTGCGTAGCGCAAAGAAATCAAGCTGTTCAACAATAATTCTTCACGAAAGGAAGACATCACAACTGTCACTGTATATACCAATCTCAATTATTCTACGGAATGGATTCTATGTTTATTAGAAAAAATGCAAATTGTTTCTTATTATTCGAATTAAACGACAAAGATTTATCTCAAATCATTGTAAAGCTCAATGGAGAAACCCAGATGATCATGGAGATGTATTTGTTAATACTAGAAACCCTGCGGGTGAAAGAGTTATGATCGACATATGTTAATTTTATTTTTTTTAAAAATGGAGCGATTGGAATAATATTTTAAAAAGAAATACAGAATATTTCAAAGCTAAGAATAAAATAAAGTCCCAAGTTGAAAATAATAAATTACAACAACTTGGATTAACAGAAAATCTACAAACTTTATTTCAACCAATATTAAAAACTCAAGAGGATATTAAAAAGAAATTAGCTTTAGAATATAGACCTTCTATAGAACCTTATAAAGATCACCCAGAACCGAATCAATATGGTGGTATTATTATTAGGTCATTAGATGATATTAATAGTCTTTTTTCAAACCCTAAAGCAGATTTACCAAAGAGTATTTCACCAATCATTGATGATGAGGGGTTATTGTTTAATGGATTTAGAATTAAATTTAAGTCAAATTCCCCTATATTCAAAATCGATACAAAAGACTTAATATTTACATTAACAAAAGGTTTAATAGATTTAATGAATGGCAGGTATATTGGCATTGCCGATTACAAGGATTTACTAGCATACTCTACATGCAATAAGAAAGTCGGGACCCGAAACAAAAAGATCTAAAGCAGTTGAAACATATATAAAAAAAGTTATTCCTGATGAATATGAAGTTGATGAAGCAGATGATGAAGCAGATGATGAATATGAAGATGAGGTATCAGATGATTATGCTGAAGACAACAATCCAATCATACAAGAAATAGACGAATTCGAAGATATGGTATCATGACAAGGTATAACGTTTTTATCGAACAACATCTAGGAACTACTTGATAGATTACAAATAATATAAGCGGCAATGAAGGAAGGTCATCGATCACACAGACAATATAATGAAGTGAATTGTATACTAAAAAGACTCCTCGAGAAAGGTATCATAGATAAAAATGATTATAAAAGCGTCATTAAAAATGTCAAATAAAGAACAACTATTTTTTATCACCTCAAATAAATCAGACATTTAATTGTCTCTAGATTACGAACTCGATCGCAATCAAGAATATGAATTGGGTTAAAGTATTTCTCTGTTTACAATTCCATTAGAAATATCAACGAAAAAAATAACCAAATAAAAATATGAACAGATAATGAAGTTACATTCAAAACCGTAAGTTTACTACCAGGAAGCTACGAATACATAGCCATTAAAGATTACCTTTCTGAATATGGAGGAAGTCTAAATGGTAGAAACAATATTGAATTCGAAGGTAATTTGAATCTGAACAAATAGAGATAGCTATATTAACATTTACCTCCTCATCTCTTATTGCTGGTATTAAAAATTTATATTTTTGTTGACTTTTATGAATATCAACAGAGGTGAAATAAACATTATTAAGAAAATATAGTTTAACATATTCAAAGTCTGTTGATCGTAAAAACTCATAACTACTTGTTGTTTCTTCTTTTAGTGGATTTGGATTTCTAATAATATTCATGGATGGAGGAGTTTCCGTCAAACTGACTCAATCCAAGAAGATCTTTATTTTCTTTATCTGGTATGATTAACATTCTAAACCTATCTATATATTTTCAACTCGTTTTAATTTCATATAAGTGATTAGCCTTTCTACATTTTTTGTAAACTGAAGAACTTTACGAGTGTTAAATTGTTTAGATGAATGTAAGTTTTGTCTGAAGAATATTGAATCAACTTTTACCTGCATAGGAAAAATAATTTCAATTACAATTTTTCCTTTGAAATTAAAAAGTGATGGACACCCTACTCCACTATCACAAATACTTTGGGGGTAAATATCATCTGTAACAGAAAATACCCTTATATTTGCTGTAAAACCATATTTTTGATATTCATATATTTTTTATTTATCAATATTAGAAATATCGACAAAACTAAACATTTTTCCAAATGGAAGATTGAAATAGTATGATTTATTTTCTTCCATGTGATGCTTTTCTTATGCGGCTATATTTTTGTTCTGTTTTAAAACTACGTTATTAATTGTGGTTATCTGTTGTTGAATAACACTATCATCAATATTTTGTGTTTGTTATTGAATATAGGTTTTGATTTCGCTATCATCAGTATTTTGTATTTGTTGTTGAATATAAGTTTTAATATCGCTATCATCTATGTTTTGTATTTGTTGTTTAATATTTGTTAGTTTTTTTGTAATTCACTGTTAAGTTTAGTTTCCAGAGCATTTAATTCCTGTTGAAATGTATCTTCATTTTCATCTGGAATGTTATCTATTAATTGTTGAATATCTAATTTTTGTTTTGCAATCTTATCATCTAATTTAGATATTAATGAAATTAAATTTTGTAACTCAGTTTTGTTCACTATGGTGACTAATTGTTTTTGAATAAAACTTATTAAACTTGCTACTTCTTGTTGTAGTTTAGTATCATTAACAAAATTTCATTATTTAAGTGAATATTTATGGTCACTCCTGTTTTGAAAAGATCTTCTTGGTAAGCTGAAAGATCAAAACAGAAGATTGGATGATTAAGTGCAAAATCTACATATTCAAACTGAGGTGGATTTCAAAATAATTCACACATATTTTTATAGTTTCTATACAATTCATTATAATCCTTTGTGGTTGGATTAATTGTTAAAGGTTGGTAAAGATAATTATCGTTGTTTAATCTTACTTGAACTTTATGGATTATAGGATCTTGAGTTTGGTTCATTGCCACTCCAAAGACATTATTGTTATTCGTCTGTAAAAATGGTAAGTTCTTGAAACCAACCATTAAATATCTTGCTGGTTTAATAGTGTTAGTGATTGGCCATGTAGTGTATTCTCCCGTTAAAGTCATGCTACCTACCGTGTTACGATGAAGAAAAGCTATTTCAATATCTTTAGTTAACGAGTTGAATATTCTCGTTTCTACTTCAATTGATGGTGTTATTACTGGTATGAAAAGTTGGAGATTCGATATTTCTAATTTTGCATCTGAAGCATTCTCTCCAAAAAATATCTTATCGTCGTTGATTTCTCTTTGTAGATGAATTTTATATGATAATCCTATGGAAACCTTTCTGTGTTCCAACAGACCGAATAAGGGATATAATTTCCAATTTACCCCACCTATTATTCTCAACAACATTATTATACTGAAGTACTCGTTTTTCGAATCCATGATTAGATGCTCGTGCTACTCTTTCCATTGTGTTTCAAGCAACAACTCTCACTCGAGCTAAATCAGCATCATTTGCAACATTTCTTACCGGTTGTTTTAAAACACTTCCATCGCCAACATCGGGTATCCAACCTGAGACTGAATCGAAGTCTTTATGATATAAAATTGTTTTCAACATTGTATCGAATTCCCCAGGGTTTTTAATTGTTTCTATCCGATTTGAACCAGCTTCCAAAACCATCTCGCTAAATAAAGATGGAATGAAATTGTTTTCTAATGTTGTATTAGTTTGTGGTACACGATTTTCATTAGGAGTTCCATCTTTAATTTTGAAATCACATCTGAAATAAGCATCGGAAAGAAGTAACCAATTTGATAATGAATTTATTTCGAAGGTAATTCTACCACCATCATTCAATTGGGATTTAGAACCAACAGTCGGTGAGATGATAATATAATCCTCCTTTTTCTTGTTAAATGAATAACGAATCGGATCGTATAATTTAAAGATTGGATCAAGTATTTTATTTGCCACTTTTAAGGTTTAAAATTTTAGTAGAAAATGAGGTTTGTTTTTCATATGAAAAATGTAGGGTGAATAGGTCTTTTTTGGGAGAATGTGGGGTGTGTAGGAGAGTACGAGGTAAAAGAGACGGTGAGTGATGCGTGGGGATTAATTTGGTAAAAAAAAAATTTCGGTAAATCTAGCCACCATATCTGACCCGTCATATATATAATCACATTTACTACTAATGTCAAAAAAAAAACACTTCCAGACCTCAGAAAAAAAATGCAGAGCCACGTGAGGTTTGTAGGTGACATGAATATCGAGACTAAATTTCATAGAAGTGATTAAAAAAAGTGGTGGCCAAATTGACTTAACACCGGTTGACTATAAATAGCCATCCAATGGGACAGCGATTATCAATTATAAGTAGGTGTTATTTTCGTACATTTTTCTAATGAACATTAAAAAACATTATAATACATGTAACGCTATAGCCTTCACAGCTAATAATGTCAGTCTTCAGAGAAATTAAAGTTTTAAAAATGGGTTACAAATAAAAAATGATGGTGGCGAATAATTGTTTGCCACACGGGTGGCAAATATCCTCGGCCTAAAATGAATGTTTACAGGCTACAGTAAAATTACAAAACAATTTTATGAAATGAAGTTTGAATTTACATAAGAATTAGACATCAAGTCGCGTATGATAATCTACCGATAATAAAAAAGAATTCTGAAAAACATTTATGTTATATAGGCCTAATATAGACCTCACAGATTGAAACTGACGGTATAAAATACTAAGAAGACTTCAAGATTAAAATACACCGTATCAGGTGAAAATATATCACATTACCATCTTAATTGGGGGATTAATTAATCAGGCGATGATAATATTATTACGTGATGAGATTAACGCTTGTTACCAGCAATTAAGATACAAGTAGATATTTTGTTGATAAAATGGTAGAGAATTTGAACATTGAAAACGGTAGGTCCTGTGAAAATTGGATCAGGAAAAAAAACAAAAATCGGTAGAATCGGGTATCCCGCCGGTAGAGCGGTAGACAACATGCAAAAGCGGTAGAAAAGACATACAATCATGCAAAAAAGTACATAATTCAGTAAGATATATCACAAAAGAAGACCACGAGGCAATACTATCTGATATTGATATAGATGTGGTATCCTTGGGATGTAAAGCTTACATGACTGCAAAGAGATTCTATAAGTATAAAAATCTTCCACCAACAAGTTACCCTTATTGTAATTTGGCCCCACATCAAAAAAAGTCGTTCCTTGAGATGTATAATGAATACGCCAGAATGGAAGTAGAGGATGAAGAATTTGAACATTGAAAACGGTAGGTCCTGTGAAAATTGGATCAGGAAAAAAAACAAAAATCGGTAGAATCGGGTATCCCGCCGGTAGAGCGGTAGACAACATGCAAAAGCGGTAGAAAAGACATACAATCATGCAAAAAAGTACATAATTCAGTAAGATATATCACAAAAGAAGACCACGAGGCAATACTATCTGATATTGATATAGATATGGTATCCTTGGGATGTAAAGCTTACATGACTGCAAAGAGATTCTATAAGTATAAAAATCTTCCACCAACAAGTTACCCTTATTGTAATTTGGCCCCACATCAAAAAAAGTCGTTCCTTGAGATGTATAATGAATACGCCAGAATGGAAGTAGAGGATGAAGTAAAAGAACTATACACAGAAGAAAAGCTACAAAAATGGCAAAAAGCTTGTATAAGACTACTAAAAACAACCGGTGACAGAGAAGTATTGTGGATATATGACAAAGAAGGCAGTGCAGGGAAGACTTACCTATCGAAATATTTAAATGCTACAGAGAATGCGATTTTTCAGAATAGTTGTAGTAAAGACATTTCATACGCATATAATGGTGAGCAAATAGTTTGTTTTAATTACACAAATGAAGATAAAGATAAAGTTAATTACAGTATATTAGAGAACATGAAGGACAGATATGTTTTCAGTCCAAAATATGATTCAACCACAAAGCATTTTCAACCACCCAAAATAGTGTGTTTCGCCAACTTCCTGCCAGATATGACTAAGATGAGCCAAGACCGTTATTGGAACTTCCAGTTAGAGAAAAGAAATGAAAAATACCATATGTTAATTAATTAAATTTAATAAATTTGTAACATTACATATCAGAGTTTTAATATAAACAAAATATAGCGAACCCAGAACTAACCCTGGCGAGGACCCTCGATCTTCAGCATTGTAACACTTCAAAATCGTCGGAAATGTCCTTGTCAGTAGACAAATAAACTTGACCATCTCTACGTCCCCTCCAAGATAATCCAATAGAATAATTGCCTTCAATTACTGTCTTAGGAGATGCAGAAACGGAGTAAATTATACCATTATCAGAAACGCAAGGCTTAGCTGAATATCCAAAACCAGCAATATCAAACCATGGTGAATATTTCTTTCCAGTAAGAGTACCCAAAACAGTATCATCAGAAACCCTTGATGAGAATTTGGGCCAAGTCCTCATAGTATATTTCTGTGCAAATTTAATAAGATGTTGTTTAGTATTAGGACATTTATTCTGATTAGTAGTGTCCATAATCCTTCCATAAGAATCTGGATCCTAGGTGCGGGTCATTGTAGGTTAAACATAGTTAGCATCTTCATATTCACCATTATTTCTTAGCCAATAAACGAAAGTAACATGACGAATCTAGACTTCATCAAATAAAGCGGTGTACTCTTTGATCTGATTCTTGATATTACTTCCATCAAGAAGGAATGTACCAAAATCCCAGCATAAATTACCAGTGTAAAATCCTTGTGCATTAGTCTTAAAAGTCTTGTGTTCGCTGTGAACGATCCGTTTATAGACTTTCTTCATAGAATTAGTGCTTCTACGATATTTCCTGCGTGTGAGAACACGCTTCCGTCTATAAAATGGCTTGCGGCGACGAGTAACCCTTCGTTTTTTGGCATATGTAGAAGAGAAACCAAAATTACACATGTATGGATATGACTATGAAATAAATGAAATAAAATAAAAAAACCAATTTCAATGCCCCAACATTGCACTGAAATAAATAATAAGTCAATAATGTAAATACGAACCCTGGGTCATGTTCATCAAAGGTCAAGGTCACGAAATATGAGCCTTCAACCTTTCAAAAATTTCAACCGAAAATTGCAAAAAAGAAAAAGAAAAAAATCAGGCTTCTAGAGGCTTTATTTTTTTTTTATTTTCTTTCGTTTGACACCAAAATCATCTAAATCAGATAAGCTGTTATCTCTGAATAGAGTTAGGCGCATTTCAGGAAAACTACTGCAGTCTAAGCACAGGAAGGTGTTTAAATTAAGCAAAGTCCCACAATTAAGGTTTCTATATTTGTGTACTCTGTGACTAATTTTTTTCATAAAAGATGGTTGGGAATTTATCTTGCAAATCAGACTTATTACGTTTAACAACCTGAGAGACTTGACATTCATGAATATTTCTGCGAAGACTGCAGCACTTTTTGATAATTTCCTGTTTCATATCCAGAGACATATCAGTACAGTCACGCTTCACAGGACAAATATTGCTAGCTTGAGAATTTTGATAAAACACATAACAAAGAATGGTCAAGTTGCATATTTCTGTTCTATACGGTGTAACGAATGATATGAGTTCCCATGCCATTTGATCTAAAGGCAATAACCTTGATCTTGTTTTCTTAATAAAATAAGCAATTATCTAATTGACGATAAGTGATTAAGATGAGTAGATGTCTGATTATACAGATTTTTCTGTGGTCTTCGGACCACTGAATAGTGTCATTATTCGGAGTACTCAAAGTTTTTTCAACTGGCCTAAGAAGGAAATTAATTGGGACCAGAATATGATGTCGGAATACTCAGATGTCAGATATCACATAGTAGACTGTACATGGTTCTGTCTAACATTCAGTTCAAGGGAATTACAGTTGGCATATCTCTAATGCTTTCCCAGCTGTCTTATTTTCCTTCATAACCCTCTACGTATTCCGAAAATTTAAAACCAACTATTTATTTTCATTTTAGATGCAGTCCCTTCTCCACATATCTGACATCTACGTAGCATATTTTAGCTCACTCACATCTCCAATTGTTTCACCTGTTGCAATGTAGTATTATCCTCATCACTTGTTGGTTTATATGAGGAGCTTTTAAAAGGTGATTGTACCAAAATCATGCAAAATGGTCTTTTCCTTGAGGCCCCATCTAGGTATGACGGCAGATCCATTGCTTCAGGATAGGATTTCTTTATTGCAATATTTTTGTAAAGACAATTATGACTAGAACCGTTATAACGGTACCGAAGCAGTGCGCATCCAACCTGATACATCGATAAAACGTTGCATTTTAAAGTCACAATGGGATTTCTTACCGGAAAGAAAAGCATGTAAACGTTCAATAGTAGAAAAAATCGTTTAAACCGTTTACCGTTCGGTAGT